GTCAAAAACTGAAATAAAAATAAATAAAAATCCACACACGCATGCATAAAGACGTTTGTTAGAGCCGTAGAAAGTTCCCTTTCCCAAAATATTCAGCCTCTGTAAACAATCTGGGTGTTTTCATCAGATTCAGTAGTCCTTCCCAGACACGTCACCTTCGTCTAACAAGCAAGTGAACTCTTCCTTTATGATTAAAAACTCTTACTATGTATTTTTTAGTTTCTAATATTTCACTTGTCAAAAATAATTTTGATAGGCCTGTCTGAGCTGCACGTTTAATACTGATGTATAAAAATGAGAGAAGAACAGGTTTGGAGAATAAAGGTTACCCAAACCCAGTCAGAAACCACAACTCCCAGAGGCTATTTTCACCACATTAAACTGATGTGAGCGCTCCAACTGATGGCTGCCACCAACTGTAGCTCACTGTCATGTAGCTGTCGCAGCTGTAATGTAGAATGTCAGCAGGGCTGGATGCCTGAGCATCCCATTATGGGCAAATCTGTTGTCAGGAGAATACGTTAAAAAAAGAACGGCAGGATTTGTATTTGTGAGGTAGTACGTCGCCAGCTTTAGGATGGTGGCATTTTTCCACAAAGAAAAGGGAGAATTTTCACACGTTTGTGGATCAAAAACTCCTTAAAGCTGGATCGGTCTGATACGATACATGCGGCAGTCTGAATTAGTTACGATAAATAACTAGTGGATGTGTTTTGGCATTAGTTTTTTCTTTATTGTACAATGTGGATGGCTTTATTTGAAACTCGGGGAGAAGGAAAAGGAAAGTAGGCTACAGAGAGCGGTTGGTGAACAGTAGTCTCAGTCCTGCTGTCTTGTCAACATAATGAAGTCCCTAGGTACCTCCTCCACTGCTCCCATCATTATGTGTGACCAGCTTAGACCCAAATACGACTTCGCTCCACTGTTACCTTTGTTTCAATTTGACATGCTCTCTTTAGTCGCAGGAAGACTTTTCTCTTGATTTCCCTGTTTGTTCGTTCTTGTACCTTCAGGTGAGCTTCTGGCACTGGATCAAAGCCTCTTAGCGATAAGCAATGTTTAGTGTGATGTACTCTTTAGCTATAAAATCTAGGTCTGTCGTATTTTTATCATACCTTTATGAGACGTGTTGTCATCTAGAGATGATGGTTTTACACCAACAACATATTTCTTTGTGAGTGATGTGACCTTGAAGCTCGTATCTTCGAGCTAAAGGTGGCGTCTCTTTGGACTGATGAGGTGAAAGGAGGGTGCGGTTCTGCAGATATGAGGGTTCTTTATACAGAAGATGGAGAGGCTTTCAGCCATGCATGGTGACCAGTCCATTAACAACAGACTGTGTGAGGGGCGGAGCAGGGTGGAGGAGGAGGAGAGACTTTGATAAGTGTTGCGCCTGTGTTAACCTTGATGGCCGCTAGCATTTGCCAGCAGCAGGGATCTGTTTCAACTGGATTAGATTTTTTTTTTTTGCTCTCTGGCACCACAATAGAAGAGAAAAAAATCAATACTCGGGAGCGGAGCATGACAGGGGCATCGTTCCAGAATTGAAGTGGCTGTCAGACGTTGTCATTCGGTGACTTTTGTTCGCTGTTGTACTTTTAAGCCCTCATTTTTCTCCCCCTCCTCTTCCCTTCACTCCTTTCTTCCCTGGCCCATTGTCTGAATTCCCCCGGTGACATTTTATGCTGCAATTTGAAAACTCGAGGGCAAAAGATCAAGTGCAGGAGAATCTTGCCGAAACCAATTGGCGGACTGCTTGAAAATCCACTTTTGTTTAGGGACCCCCGTCCTCCGTTCTCATTTAGTCCTCTTGTCTCCCCAGACCGGGGTTGTGTTCCTGGAGGAATTTATTTGTTATGCATTTGCATTCTCTGATACTAGACAAGGACAGGCCTGATGCTTCGCCTTCCTATGGACAGTTTTTCTGCCAATTTGTAAATGAAACCCTCTGGGATTGCTTGTCGACGGATGGGAGAAATTGGAGATGCTCGCGGCGCGATAGCCGAGCCACGGCGAGCTTGTAGCCCAGATGTGCCAGCAGTGTCATGAGATTGCAAATCAGACGCTTTAATAACATCGTAGCTGCTTGTGTTTCATCCTCCTGCGCTCCAACCCGAGAACTTGAGACTCTGTTCTGTCAGGGGTATGTTGAAGGCTCACTGTAGCATGACAACACCACTAGACCCCTCTCTGTCACTCTGATAAACATAGAGCTGATCTCTTGTAATGAGCCTCCATTCTCCGCTCTATTATACTGGTTAACCCTTTCAACCCACAGGGGGTAAGAGGTAGACGAGGCATCATCTGACAACAAATTTTAGAAGTGGCTACAACTGGTACAGCACCTCTGCTGGGAGAATTCCTGTTTTAATAGGACAAACAGGATTCAGCGTCACCTGTAAACACACCAGAAGACCCTCTGCTGGCTGAAACTGGTTTTAACGCTTCCAGTTACCGTTCCCTGCTATTAAGCTACTTCAGGTGATTATTCTTTCCTCCCCAGCAGCCCATTTCTCCCCCAAACTCTTAAAAACAGAGTTTTTTTCTGTCTTTGCTTTTAAACCTTGGATGAATTATGGGAGACACGACTGCGAGTAATTGACTCGATTAATGCCAGTCATTATAATTTTGTGCTCACTAAGCTGTCTGTCCCAGCAGAGCCAGCATCCACCATGCCCGACCCCGTCAGCCAGGCCTCGTAATGGAAGGTACAGCCCATGATTAGTGTCGCGAGTCATAACGGTCTCCTGCCAACCAGTTGGGCCCTTTGGCTGTCTGTTTAGGAAGCTAACAGCATAGTCTGCCATCCGTTAGCCTCAGCGGCGTGTTTCTACTCGGGGAAATGAAAACACTCCTTTCTTCTGATGTTATTGCTGGGATAAAAAAATGCACACTGGAAGTGACTTTTTTTCTTTGTAAACAAAGAAAAACTTTTAAATCTCTTAAATGACTTCTCACAATATCAAAGAATGAAAGAAACGTGAGTTTAGAGGAAAAATGTCTTTTGAGTCTATTATTCCAGCGGGGCTTTGTGAAAAGGAATGCAACATGGGATATTTGGTGTTTCATAATAACCGAGTCATATTCTGACTTCACACCGGTGGAATGACCCCCAGCATTAACGGCGACTTGTCTTTTCCACTTATGAGTGAACCCAGCTTTGGTTTTTAATGGCACTACTCGTACGTTCAGCTTCTTGGCTTGTTATTTCAGGGGTGAGTCTGTGAATTTAGCCTTTTCTCCCGTTGTCGCCTTTGGCTTCGGATAGAAGAAAATCCCATTACGGCATGAAGGGTTTGGGTGTTTGGGCAGCCTCGGTGCACAGGTGATGAAGTGTTTGTTTATGGTTATGAGTTTGAACCCAGCACCGTTGATTAGTCCTGCAGACCTTACATGTCTCACACAGACGCAGATGGAAATGGACTTGCGTGCGGGGCCTGCTCGCTGCTGCTTGTTGAAATGACTGAAATCTGAACAGGCGTTCACAAAGAGATCAGTCCTAAAAACATGTGAGAAATGAGCGCATATTTCAATTATTACTCTTATTCGACAATATTTGCTGTGATTTAACAATTTCACTTGGAACAAAAGGTAGACTGGTTTTTCTATTGTCAATACCAACATGTAGGAGACATGGTTAGCCAGGCTTTTTATGCATATCTAGTCATCTTCCACCTTATTTTCATGCTAAAATGCCACTAATGATGCTAGTTGATGCAAAAACCTCTGAATTGGTTTTTGAACTCTGAATTTAACTGTTAAATCTTAACTTTGTGCACCACTCAGTGTTAAAGTCAGACACCTAAGTAAAGTAAACTTAGAGTATTTATTATACAGATGTTATTGGTGAACATTAAAATACATTTAACTCAAATTCTGCAGCAGCACTGGGCTGTCCGAAGATGTGCCTGACTTTAAATCGGCTTTGCTAGAGGCACACATTGGCTGATGCCGATGTGTAAAACATGTTACATGATATATCGTTCTACTCCTAGTTGGAACTATTAATTTTTAAGTTTAATCCTACGTGACGAGCCTTCAGTCTGGCTGTTTATGGATTATTTTACCCGATCCAGATTAATAAATCTGCAAAACATAATTTGCTTTTAAGTGCCTTTAAATAAAAACTGCTAGTGGACCTTCTCCCTCCGCCTCCTCAGTATGCTGTTCCTCCCTTCATCATGCTCGAAGGTCAGGACCCAGTTTAATGTCAAATAAAGAGACATAGATTGATAATTAAGGCTGAGCAGCCCACAGAAAAGCCCCTCTAATGGGATTATACCTATAGATTTTCTGTCAGATATGAAATGTCTTTTGAATTGAAGGGGAAGGCCCATTATAAAGTGATTTAGTGGTAACTTTGGTGCATTTGTTCAGAGTTGCTTTTTGGTTAATAGTTACTGTATTATCATTGGACCAGTGGGGAAATAAAAGGCTGATAAAAGCCCATTTAAACCTAGTCAATATCACGATGATAGAATGAGTTCTTTAGTGCAGAAAATCTGCCTGCATGCGTCGTAATTTTGGACAATCTTTTATTTTATTGTTTTAAGCTTGTTCCAAATGAAAACAGTATTATTTCAGGCTTCGAAGTATACAGTGGAAATGAAACTGTCTCAGATTATAGCTGTTAATTTCAGAAGGTGTTGCAGTTTCACTATTGCTGCAGAGTTCAAAAGCCCGTTCTGATAACAAATTCTGACAGAGAAAAATGTCCTTGTGCATGCACGGTATCGTGTGATTTGTTGAGCTGGAGGGCATTAGAAAATACATGTCCACTGTTATTAATCAATGTGACGTGAGGAGTGAATTACCCTCTTTTTTGGTTTGTGTGAAACTCTGCTGTGCCGGTATCTGTACGTCCGGCCGCCTGTCATTTAAATGTATTCAATATAAATCTGCTTGAAAGGTTTTTTTTCTCCCACTTTTATGCAAAACACACACCTATAAAAACTCTGACATGCAAGATCAATAATGCTTTTGTTTGTTTCCTCTCGCAGTCGCACTGTGCCCAGTATTCAGCAGAGAAGCGAGAAGAGGAGAAAATGTGCGACCATTTGATTAGAGCAGCTAAGTTCCGTGATCACATGACCGCCACGCAGCTCATCCAGAAGATAGTGAACATCCTGACTGACAAACACGGAGCGTGGGGAAACTCCTCCAAAAGGTAATAAACCCATTAGAATAAACAGCAGCGAGATGAAGCTGCTGTTTGGATGTTTTTCTCCGTGTGCCTGGGTCTTTTGCACAAGTCCATACTAGAGGTGTAACGGTGCGTATGTCGGGGCATCCGCGGGTCCTTAAAAAGTCTTAAATTACCTTTTCCAAATTTAAGGCCTTAAAAATCTTTAAAAATGACAAATAATCCTTAAATACAGTTTCCAAAGGTCTTAAATGACTAAAGACCCAATAAACAAGATTCTTTTATTTCTATAAAAATTTTGTGAATTTCTAGTTGGTGTTCAGCATTTTTTGTGTACGATATTGGCGTAAGCGGAACCGTACACATGCAGTTGGTTGTGAAAGGGGGCTATTTTTAGATGAGCACGTTAGCTGGTTAAGCTAGCGGGAGCTTGCACCATGGGGAAGTGCAGGTTAAATGGTAACTGGATGGCTAATCCCACGTTGGCGACGTGGTTAGCACCGGTTCCAGGCAATAGCTGGAAATTATAGCTTAAATTAAATTTTTAAAAGTTGCTTAAATTTGGTCAAAGTGGTCTTAAAAAAGGTCTTAAAAATATTACATTTGGCTCCCTTAAACCTGCAGATACCCTGGTGTGTTCATAAATACAGTTTCCACATGAACGGATAACTGTGTTTCAGCCAGCAACAGTCCCAGTCTCTGTCCCAGTTAGGAGACCGGACCTACCCGCTGGACATGGGCTGATGCCTACCAGGTCCTTCGTGGATAAACCTGAACAAGGAACTTTAATATTAAACTTAAGGAAATCGAGAAAGTTAATGTCCTAAAGATAGAAAATATTAAGTACTGACGTTAAAGATGTGGTTCACTCGTTTAATCAATACATTTGTAGTGATCTCTAGTAGGAATGAATGCCTTGTAAGTCGTTCTCGGTGGGGCAAAAAACACTGGTGCACTATTTCCAGGAACTAGAAGTGAGCCACATCACAGCTGAGCTTCAGACGGCAGGTTCTGTCTTATTTCCTGAGATTTGGAGATCTCACCTCGAACTGGACAACAGCAACACGACTCTACCGCTGACCTGCAATGTTGATGTTTTATCTCCACAAATAACACAAACCTGGAGGAGCTCTGCTGTGTGGTGGAGTTCCTAATGCTAACGGTTAGCTGGTCTAACTAGTCTAGATGTTCCTGGACACCAAACCAGCAACAGCCTTCCCCATCGTGAGTCCATGAATGTTAAGTGACAGTGTAACGTAGATCTGTCAGGGTTTTCAAATCCTAGAGTTTCACCGTCTATTTTCTATCAGAAGCTCATGAAGGAGATAGGTGTAGGAGACTATTTTCATGTTCAACCTGCAAGAAAACTCAGTGACTGATTATAATCTGAAATAATCATTAAAAATGTTTTTTCAGTGTTCCACATCTTTAAACGTTCCTGGAAGAAAAATACTTATTTTTTTATTTTATACATTTTTATGTCATCAAAAAATATTATGTTGGAAATTTTACTGCAAATAAAGTGTTTTTTTTTAGTGTCATCCAAACGGTACCCGTTTACTCTAAAGAAAACGTTTTTCCTACTTTGTACCAAAAATGAACCGAACTGTGGAATTAAAACCGAAGTACCATTAGAAATACATTATCCTGGCCTTAACAAAAATCTAATCAAAGTAATTGTTTTTAAAGTCTTTCATTATCTTTGCTGAGGTTAAATATGCCGGGGTGAAGATGTCGGCTGTGTGCTGAAGGGACCTGGGAGGGACGTGGAAGCCGTTTGAACAAGCTGAGCTCCCAGTAGGACCAGAGGGAACCTCATCCTCTGTGTTTGCTTCACCAAATGGGCAAAATCCAATGCAGCTATTCCCTAATGATGGCTGTTTGTGCAGGTAGTGTGTAATAGTGAGCTGGAGACTGCTGCTGGCTCACGCTTGTTAAGCTGAACAGAGTCTCCAGAGACTCGTCTGGCGGGGGTTAGCTTGCTGTTGGATCAGGAGTCGATCTGAGCCCCCCTTTGTTTTCTTTCTCTGTTTCTTTCTTATCTGGACGCGGTGTGTTATTTGTCATATTTCCCTCCTTTGTGCTGCTTCTCCTCTGTTACTTCTCCCTCCATGTGTACTCACACTTCCATTTAGTATGGATATTGTGTTCTACGAGCCCCGGCTAAAAGAGCTCCCCATTACAGGTCCTTTATGGTGCTGTGGTATTGATGGTTTTCCTAATGGCTGCCGATGGGTGCAGGGAGCCATTGGCACTGGGCCTCGGAGTGCTGCGCTCTTTTAATAAATCACAATCAGTCCTGTGCCATTACATCAATATTTTTGGTCAATTACTGTGAAGGTCAGGTGGTGCACCAGAGCCTGTAGTATGGAAGGCACCGCAGAAACATCTGGTGCTGCAAAACCAACAAATACAAGCACAAGCTGGAGACACACACACACACACACACACACACACACACACCTGTATACCTGCAGGGAGACATTGTTTTTTCTAAAGCTAGTGCAGCAACATCCACGCAATAAAAAGCGAATGTTTTTCCCAGCTGTGAAAATGAAAGCCAGAAACACACGGAGACGATCTGAAGACGTCCTTTTGTAGCAGGAGTGTAAAAACCCACGCCCACCTCCTCACACACCATACAAGCCTATTCCCCAATGTTTCCATTCAATAAAAGAATCTGAAAATGAAAATATTATTTTCTCGCGAGCTGATGGGAATTGTTGTTTGCTCACGGCAGGTATCTAATATCTTCTGACACCGTGTGACCCGTCTGAATGCAATTTGTGTCTTAATATCCAGCTTACAGCGGCTCTGGCCTCTGGAGGAAAGAGGTGTTGGGTGATTTCTCTTCCCTCCTCCCCTCTCTTCTCTGCTTTGTCTTTCTTTGCTCTGCAATTTCTTTTTCCCTCTCCACTTCCTGTTCTTTGTATTTTCTCGTTTCACTGTCAGATTTGCCGCTACGTGAATGCTCTTGTTTTTGGTTTGGTGTTGGGACGTGGACAGCCGGACGGCCGTTGGTCCACATCTCAGCACCTTAGGACTCAGGTGTACTGCATGCCAGAAGGCTGTCTCTTTGCTAGCAAATGAAACAACTGGCAGAAATCATCCTTTTTCCTCCCACTCCTGCATTTCCACTATTTCTTATTCTATTTTGAGCCCGCGTCCGTCGAGGACGGAGCCTGCTGGAGTGTTAATTTGGGTCAGAAACCATCTCGTGAACATGACACCTGGACAAATATGACAGAGAGGGAAGATGAGGGCAGATGATGGAGAATGCCGTCTCACAGTGCCTGTAGACGGACTCTACTCCTTTTGTTTCCACCTTCTTTTTATCATATTCTAATAGGCTGACTAAGGTACCATGGAAATTCACTCTGAATGCACAAAGCAAGGAAGTAAGCTGCATATTTTGGTGTAATGCACCTTTTTTATCCTGTAATCTTTTACTAACCATAAGTTGTAGATTAAAGCTTGAATGAGCTCTTTTTTATCTTTCCAGTGTGTTCTAATAAACCTCACCTAGACTTCTCTCAGTTGCACACACACCTTTGAGCACCAGCCCACCTCCCTCTGCTCCTCCTTCCTCATATAAGCAGCTCATTTTCTGCAGCGGTGCGGCTCTAATGGACACCCTTAGGCTAGAGGCTTCCCAGCCAAGAGACATCCATCTTTTGGCGTGTCACACTCCTGCCTGGCAAAAAAATCTTTGATGTGCACTCCAATTTTTCTTCAGTAAATCAAATCTTCCTTCCTTCAGAAAGACAAATGCGTTGGGGTTGGAGTGGAGTGGAGAAAATCAATGCCGGCAAAATTGAAACAGTATGCCTCCGTATTGATCGGCCTTGTGAGATCGAAAACGAACAGCTTTGTAACTGTTCCACGGGACAGTTAGCTGACCTGTAATGGACAAACTATTGATATTAGTATTACTATTTTATCTTGTGCTACATCTTTTCACTGCTACGTACCTGAGGGACAAGTTTATTCCTTTTTTATAACCCAAGAATATAGCAAATAAAATGGTGTCTGCACAAACAACTGAGAAACATTTGTTTGTAGGTTTCATGCATTTTTTTTCTAAGATTGTTTCTTGGATATGGTCCAAATATTGCAACTAGCTGTATCCCCTCCCAATAAATAAATCTTGAATATATTACATTTTCAGGTGATACGTTTAATGTTTACTTGTGTTACTTTAGCCAGTACCTCAGCAGGCTACAACTTTAGTCGTGTTTCCACCACAGGGGAAGGTGACATGGAAATGCATCTGCTTGGTCCTCTCTAGTCCTGTCTCCATGCCATACCCGCTCACCCCCTCATTAGAAAGGCCCGGATCATGACAGACTGCATCCTGAGCATGGCCCAAGGTTCTATGCGATTCAGGTTTATTTATATAGCACCAAATCAGGACGAGTCATCTCAAGGCACTTCACACAGTAAACATTCCAATGCAGTTCAAGTCATTAGACCAGTCAGTAAAATGTTTCCTTATATAAGGAACCCAGCAGATTGCATCGAGTCACTGACTAGTGTCAGAGTTTTTACAGCAATCCTCATACTAAGCAAGCATGTAGCGACAGTGGAGAGGAAAATTCCCTTTTAACAGGAAGAAACCTCCAGAGAATCCTAGAAAAGGTGTAGTCCTCTCTCTGGGTGGGGGCAGGTCTTCGACCGTGGTGGCGCAGAGACACCTGTGGCTGACCCTTTTAAAGTCCCGGACCGAGACGGGGCTTCCTACTTGGACAAACTTGTCTCCCCAACGGCCTGTTTGGACAGTCCCTCGAGGCTATTCAGGCCAATCAGCATGAGTTAATCACAGGTCCCGCCCAGCGACTCTACTGGATCATTTTTGATGGTCAGTTCATGTACTTAATTGTTCCTCGAAATTACCCAGAAAAAGGTCCTTTTGGGCCGGCCCAGTGAAACGGAGACACACGTGCGTTGCGAAGGTCTGCTAAAATGACACGGATTCAGTAGTGCAGGGGTGCCAGATCCTGGTCCTGGAGGGCCGGTATCCAGCA